GTTGAGGGGGTGGGGGGGATGGGCTATGCTACAACATGCCTAGGCTTGCATGAGAGCAGCAGCTGCAGCCTTTTCTTGCCATTGGCATTGTGGGGAACCACACCGACAATCCTCTCACTTTCTGCTCCAGCCAGTGCCTCTACCTGCTCTCTGAGTCTGTCTGCATGGGACAAGTATGGTGACAGTACCTGTGTCAACATGGACCACAGACTGAATTGTTAAGCAGCTCTTGTGCTTTCTTCCAAGATGCCCTCAGAGAGGACTTCATAGCAGGTGGTGAAATGATCCTGTCCCTTTTAACCTTATAGCATCCCACATAAAGCAGGACAAATAAACACGTAATTACAGTCCACAGCTTTACTGTTAAGCATGCCCAGGACCTCTCTCTGGTGCTGAGGTTAACTGGCATAAACCAGCTCATATTAAGCTCTCCCAGCCTCTAAAGCAGTACAGCTGCATGAAAACAGCCTCATGGAAACGGCCCTTGGACCAAGACAGCTCCTGAAAGGTGCCCAGAGATTGCTGAGAAAATGCTGCTTAGCCAAGACCAAATTCACACTAGGGATCATTCTAACAATTTAACAGTGCAGATGATCACTTTCCAATGTCTAGAAAAATTCCCTAGTACTGTTTCATTTATTAGTATTGACATAGCCATAAGTTTCTCGTTGATTCACTGCAAACTCAATTTTTCAAAGCACCAAGTATATCTGTATATCTGGCCCTGATCCAAGAAGGCATTTCAATAAAAATGCCTTCTCCAATAAAAAAAACTCACACCATTTAAGACTATCCCAGCTCTTGAATACATATGTACACATGCAAACTGACCCATGCAGAGGAACGTTAATAAAATCTTGGCCTCAGACCATCCCCAGATCACTCTGAAGAGAAGCTGCTGCTCAGAAAATTCAGGAAATGTGATTAGAAGTAGGAGAACCCATAATAAAAAAAAAAGCCTGAAACTTTCTAATTCACCACAGGCAAGGAATATTTGGAGTTTTCCTAGCATCTCTCTTTTTTCAGGAATTTTAGCTTTCCATGTTCACTGTTACAGACCACTGAGCACTCACAATTGCTGGACAAGGCCAGAAGGCTTCTTGCACTTGGACACTCTCACTCTGCCAGCAGTGTGCCCAGGTGGCCAAGAAGGCCAATGGCATCCTGGCCTGCGACAGGAACAGTGTGGCCAGCAGGACTAGGGAAGTGATTGTCACCCTGTGCTGGGCATTTGTGAGGCTGAACCTCAAATCCTGTGTTCAGTTTTGGGCCCCTCACTGCAAGAAAGACACTGAGGTGCTGGAGCATGTCCAGAGAAGGCAACGGAGCTGGGGAAGGGTCTGGAGCACAAGTCCTGTGAGGAGCGGCTGAGGGAACTGGGGGTGTTCAGCCTGGAGAAGAGGAGGCTCAGGGGAGACCTTATGACTCTCTATAGCTACCTGAAAGGAGGTTGTAGCCAGGTGGGTGTCGGTTTCTTCTCCCAAGTGACAAGCGATGGGACAAGGGGAAATGGCCTCAAGCTGGACCAGGGGAGGTTCAGATTGGATATTAGGAAAAAATTCTTCTCTGACAGGGCTGTCAGGCACTGGAACAGGCTGCCCAGGGAGGTGATTGAGTCACCATCCCTGGAGGTATTTAAGACATGTAGATGTGTTACCTGGGGATGTGGTTTTAGTGTTGGACTGGGCAGTGCTGGGTTAATGGTTGGATGATCTTAAAGGTCTTTTCCAACCTAAAGATTCTATGATTCTATAAGTCTCTCATGAGCCTCTGTGCATGTGCTAGGTGACCACCTTTGCCTTTTGCTTCAGTCCTGTTCTAGGTATATGGCATCTGGCTAACAACACTTCATGGAATCGCAATCTCAAGCTGCTCGTGTCCAAATCACCGCAGGTTTTTTACAAAGACACTCCACTGATTTTGTATCGACTTTCTCAAGAGGCTGGATATCATGACAGGTTTAAATTCATTATTATTTAGGGAAACTACATCAGAGACAAACATACAAGTTTTGTAGACATTCTGAAAACAATGTTTTCACTTCACCAATCTAAAAAAATTATACACATACACATATGTACACATACGTACACATGCAAACAGATCCATGAAGAGTAACATTAATAACATCATGGCCTCAAATTTTGCTATCACTGACCATTCTTTGGGATTAAAACAAGATCTGAAGGCATAGAGGTCATGTCTCTTATCAGCTTTTCACAGCCTCTACTAGCTACTGCAAGATTCTCCATTTTTCCATTCACTTACATGTCCTGTCTTCAATCTGTGTTATGAGGTGATCTAATCCTCCCTTTCACCCCCCAGAGTATATGCTTTCCTTCCACAGTTACTGTGGGCCTTGAATTCAGACTTGAATGCTTGTTTTCCTGCCCAGTGGGCATCACCTTGACAAGGACAAACTTATTTAAATAGACACCCATCAAATTTGGGCACTCCTTGGCTGTTATCTCTTCCTCAGGTGCAAGACATCCTCTTATTGCCTGCTGTGGCTTTTAGTTCAGCATGGCGACAAGTGAAAGCAGAAAAGTATTAACATATTAACAACTGAGTTAGACAGGGAGAATCCTCAGTATCAAACAGAATTTATAAACTGTAGATATATATCCCTTGATTCTCATAACAGCCTAAGGAGAACTTAGTTAAAATCACTGGAGACATCTCTAAGGGAACTTATACCCCTATACACAGTGCTTTAATTGGAAGCTAACAGAATCACGGCAAAAGACATCTTCATTCTGCTGTTACATTCTTCAACTAACAGATAAGTAGCAGACGGTGTTTCAGGCTTACCAGGTTAATCCAGCAGGCTTGCTTACTAGGTAACGAGCTAGCAAGGAATGGCTCGCAGTCATGTTGGAGGTTTGCAGGAAAGCAGCACACACGGTGACCACTGTATGATAAGCAACTGCACAGCATTGTATTTGCAGGCAACATTTGGTTGTGCTTTCTGTGTTTGAGTCTCGCTAATGACCGTGGCTGCAGGCCACGTATCTAAGGAATGTAGGTATCCATTTCCAGGAATGAGTTAATTTTTGCACACTATATTGACTAAAATAGAAGTCACTATTAATTAGTTTTCACAAGTTGACACATTTAAGATAAATGAGGCACTGTCTCAGTTAAGATGGAATTTTAAAATGTATTGGATGGATTTTGCAGGTGTTGAAGGGCATTTATCTCCTAGAACAGCAGTTAGGATAAAGCAGCTTGATTAATTCATTCAGTAAACCCGCTTTTAGCACTGGATGATTTAACCTGTGCTAGTGCTTTACACAGTTTAATTGTACTTTTTTTTTTCAATTATTTTCTTAGCATCACTCCAGTGCTTCCTGCAATGTCTCCTGCATACTTTAAGCACTTTCTCCCTCTGTCATTTTCAGTTTTAAAATATTTGTAACTGTTGCTATACCTGACACTAGCCATCACTTTGCAAGAAATGCATGTTCAGTTTTTTATCAGCTACAGTGTGTCAAGAATGTAAATACTTGAATACAATGTAAAAATTATACGTAATCTTAACTCATATATGTTCAAATAAAAACTGCAAGAGGACTTTTGTAGCTTTCAGAGTTGCATCTGCATATAAAGCCACCATTTCCCCTAGGTCTCGCTATCTTTTATGGTTCTCAGTAGCCACATTTCAAATGTTTTCATTTCTGTTTTCATTAGTGAACATCCCATTATTTGAAAAGGGAATTCTACTTATATATCACAGAAATATAGTTACTTGAATCAGAAACATCATGTTTTTAACGACTTTGAATCAGATCTGTCTAGATATACTAAAAGAATATGCCAAAAATTTTGAATATACCACTGATGTGGTGGCTTATACAATGGGAGACTGAACATAAGTGCAGTGGAAGCATAACCAATTGAATGTATTTCTTCAGTAAAGAGCCATAAAATCCCCTGTAGAAGCAATGATTATAAATCACTATATAAATATTCAAAGTCCTTTTTTTTTTTTTTACAATATGCTTATAAATAAAACATTTCCAAGACAACAAAGCTCTCTGTAGGAATGCAGGCAATGGTAGCTGATCCCTTTCTACTGCAGTTCAATGTTACAACAGAATTTTATGCCAGGTGACTACTTTCTTTATCATATATACACTCACATGTACCAGTTTGTCATACCAAAGTTTTCTTAGAGAGATGAATTTCAGCTAAATTCATTAAAGAATTTATTCTGTCTTCAAGGCCAGGCTGGATGAGGCTTTGAGCAACCTGGTCTAGTGGAAGGTGTCCCTGCCCATGGCAGGGGGGTTGGAACTAGATGGTCTTTAAGGTCCCTTCCAACCCAAACTGTTCTGTGATTCTGTAATTCTATAAAGAATACTTCTTTGCCAAGAAAGGTCTCTCCTTTCCTAGATTATACCAAGATCACAGAGAGTATGCTCCTTCCCAGGCCAATAGGACTGAGAAGTTTTCTTGAAACCATAGTACCTGGCACCAAGCCCAAGAGCAGAGACAGTACCAGTATCTCCCACTTGCAGATATCCAGGCTCTATAAAGTACTATGGTTCCCAGTGAAAACTGTCAACAACTGTACCACAGGGTAGCTGTGTAAGGGGAAAAAATTGTCAGGTCATATTTAACCTCTGTGTGCTTGACTTCACAACTGGATGCGAAGGAACAAGAATCTCTTGTAACTCATGATCTTTTTTAGCCAAAATATAGTTGAGTGGGAAAAATATGTTAGTCATCCCTCTAGAAAAATAAAATTAGTGATATGAATACCTTAAGAGGAAGGACTTCTTTATTAATACCATAGAAATAAGCCATTGCTTGTGTCCATGAGCAAAGACCTGCTACACTTCCACACACTTTTTTAGCAGTCTCAAGATTATAATCTTCCATATCCAAATAAGGCTCTAAAAGCTCCACAGTTTCTCCTGTAATTGAGTCCTAGTCAATGGAAAGGAAAAAAAAAAAAATGTGTCTGCTTCACAGAAACATTTTTATTTTTAAAGACACGGTGCTTCGACTACTTTCAGAAGAAATGAACAAAACAACACTGTTGCCTTTCACTGTTACAGAGGACAGAAGATTAGCTGGTTTTTATGAACTCAAATGAACATAGCTCCTACTACCGTTGCAATAAATTGGCTTGAGTTTGCATTTAATATCCCTATTTGACCCATAAGATTTACAGCCTTCACTTGTACTCGTAGGTCCATGACAACTTAAGCTGGTCTAAGTTGCTGCTGCTACAGCACTGTACCTTCTTTCCTGTCCCACTCAACCAGATGTTCTTGCCCCACCTTTAAGACCATCACCAATACTCAGTGAGCTAGTTTGAATCTAATATGACAGAAATCTAAGTCAGCAAACCAGTGATTAGTATTCTTCTGGGCTAGTTCCCAAGCTCACCATGATACCAGACATGAACCAGTATGAATACAGCTAAGGGAGTCAAACATGCAGCTTTAGGAAGGAAAAGGATGAATCTGCAAGACACTGATGATTTCACTGAAGCCAACCCTTTTCCTTAACCATAAAAGCCATTTCTTTCAGCTGTTCACTTCATTATTCTAATCTCAGATTTTCCCCCCTCTCCTTCACAATCTGTTGAGAACATGAAAAGCCAGATCTTTGATGATGGTGGTTAATCTATAATTATGTAAGTGTCAGAAGAAAATGGAATTCATCTCCTTAAGCAATGTAGAGAGTAGAAGAGCTTATACAGGGTAACAATGGTTGCTTAACAATAGAGGCATTAAGAAGATTTCTTTTTTTTTTTTTTTGGCCAATGTATTAATGCCTTTCTTTTAATGCTTCTAAAAATCATCCTCTATTCATACTGTGAAGCAATAGATCCATTTCGTGATTTTCTGCATAGCAGAGAGGACTGTCTTGTACTTGTCTGATCCCTAACTACTATAATAACACAGACATTCATTATATTATTCCTAAGATCTGTCATGGTGATGTTTTCACTATGAGCATTTGCTAAAATATATAACAGTGCTGGACAAACATTTTGACTTTTTCATTCTCCTACTCAAAATTACGAGCTAATAAGCTGACAAAGGTGAAGCAAAGACCAATCAGCAGTGGCCTAAATCTCTGTTCAAGTGCTTGAAAAATATCATGCTTTCCCTTCTAAGTAATGAATTTTAAACCTAAGGAACAATTTCATCCACTAATCTTCCTTGCCTAAAAAAACAAAGAACAAAAATCTCACAAACAAGTAAGCAGTGCAATATGTTCAGAACTCCAGACAAGATGAGTCTGGAGGCTTTCTTCTCTTATACATTCAATCTTAGAAACAAGAAATGAGGCAGGAGGACAGCATGTGAAGTACCTCATCAGGGACAGAAGTAGTCTAGTGTTCTTCACCACATTCATCAGTATCACTTCTTGCAAGAACTCAGTCCCACAGAGGTTGTTGGGACTCCTCCAAGTAAAG